CCTTCTACAATCAGGGTAGGATCTAACAAGAACTCTACTTCTTCCTCTTTGTAGTCATACTCACTGTCTGATCACTAGATTAACTATTAAGCTTTTAGTATGAAATCACTTATCTCACTTAATGATCAAAGTTGATCCACCAAAATTAGAGAATTACTGAGTAGTAATATTTGGACAGAGATATTGTACATTGAATCCAAAAGCACACAGATAAACATCTACAATAAATTGTTCAAATTAATTAATTACACAGAGAGGGTTTGCAAATCTTGTATACTTATAACTTATCTAATTGAACAATTCAGACTGTTAAGTAGTATGTCTGGTTATACAAAAGATATGCATTCCAATTGACTTAATTCTGTAGCATATCTCATAAATTCCTTTCAACCAAATATAGTATGTCTTTCCTGAGTGAGAAATAGGCAAGAATATATCCTATTACAATACTTAGGCAAATAAAACCAAACATAGCTACTTGTGTTGATATTAGACAACTGTGTACAAGTTCTTGTCTTACAATTACACTACAATCACCCCCTGCCCCTCCTACTTTAATGTTCACAATGACCCAGACTATCTCAGCTGTCTCTAGCATATCAAATACTGTCTTGGCAGCAAATGTAACAGAGAACAATGTCTATGTATCTGTCAACAGTAAGCTGGTTCAAAACACCCTTAATATTATGCACAAGTTTGTAGATCCTTCTGTGCCCCCTGTCTTGTATATAGTGTCCTTAGCATACATTCAAGAATGTCTGACACCTGTTAACAAATTCTAAGATGCCCAAAAAATTGCATTTTACAATCTTGCCAAAGCCTACCTGTCTGCCAACCCATCACTTAGTTCTTCCTATGTCCCCAACTCTATAGCTATTACACAATCAGCACCAGGTTTTATTGTGAATAGAGACCTTCAAGCCCTTGCTCACAAGTACAATGAAAAGGTGTAGGAAGGAATGGTGAATTCTTGTTTTGCTTTATAGATATTAATTCATACTTATTTTTTGTTTCAGTGTATTTTGTGTGCTTGTACTGAGGAGCATCTTGAATTTGTCTTTTCAGTAAGCATTGACTGCCTTACAACAGCCAGACATGGCTCTTTGTCTGTAGACCTTACAAGTCTTATTAACATTTGCCTCCCTGATGTTATTCTGTTCAAGGGAGCTTTTGCCACTACAACCTGCTGTTATAAGGAACATATTGTAGCAGCTATTATGGATTACCTTAATGATTCCTTAAGAAGGTGTAGATACTCTACTGTAATCATAAAACAGGTGAGTACAACTTTTGGGCAGCTTCAAGTAGGACAATCTTTGTTCCTAGTTGCTGTAAGGAGTAGCAGGTTGAGATTAGACTAACACAATCTACTTAGGCAAAGGTCTTCAACTGTAGTGACCTTGATCCTCTCCCACATACTGAGACCCATCATCTAGACATTAACATTAAGGATATCACAGATGACAAGTCTGAGACTTGTGTGGTTTTGGATGGTCCTTCTGGCTTACAGGCTACTGTAACACTAGATGAGGAGTACTAAGGGAACAACAACCCCCTAACACTTGAAGTTCTCCAAGCACTCAAGCAAGCTGAGTCAGAATATACATCTACAACAGTTCAGGCAGGCAGTACAGTTAGTGCTCAGGTTGTCAGGGATGAGGGTCCTGGTTGTTGTCAAACTATCTTAAACTGTTACACAGATAAGGTTGGATTAGATAGTACTCAGGCTCAAATTGTCCAGTCTTATAGTACAATTGTGATTCTGGCTGGGTACAGTATTATTATTACCTCTCCACCTATGTTCAACAGTCCAGATACTCCTCACTGCCTCAGTTCACCTCAGTCACCTCAGTCATCTCAATCATCTCAGCCATACATTATAATTGTATCTCCTAAAGCTTCTTCCAAGGTGTGTATAGAGAATTTTACTTGTATTCAAGTATCTTTAACAAATACTAATGTATTCTCTACAGTCCAACCTTTCCAGTGAGGCAGTACCCACCAAAGTAGCACCCACTAAAGTAGCACCCACTAAAGTAGTACTCACTGAAACAGTACCTACAGCCTCTTGTATCAGATGCTCCCTCAGATGTGTACTACATACTGTGTGTTTGGAAGCTGTTTCTAATAATACCTTCAGAGTTTGAGTGTGCAAAAAAAAATTCTGTTAACATGTTAAGTATGCTTGAACACTACTCTGACTTACTTCTATGAATGTGCCTTATTTCTATTTGCATTCATTGTTCTTCTGTGCTTCAAAATGTTTCTGAATTTTTTTTGTCTGTATGTTCAATTGCTATACATTTTGTTGTTTGCTATCTTGTGTATCTTGTCCCCTATCTTCTTGTTGTGTTATTACAATATTATGAATAACTTGAGTTTTCATACAAGTCAAATGCCTTAAAAAATAATAATTCAAATGTATAGTATAGTATAGTATATGTATATTTGTGTTTGATGTACTTTTATTCAATTTCTGACAGAATGGATGTGTACTGAAGTGCTACATGAATGTTATTGAAAATACAAGCAATCTGTCAAGTCAAAATAACTCTTCCTTTACTGATTCTCCAATTCAAGGTGTCAACTGACATGTTATCTTGTTAATATGTTACTATACAATATCCCCCAGTATGCCTCAGAAATGTCAATTGTAACCAATATTTTGTAGAATTACACTCAACTTCACACTCTCCTCCTTCATGGATTCTACACTGATTGATCCTATACTACTTGATCCTGTACTACTTGATCCTGCACTACTTGATCCTACACTACTTGATCTGGTACCAGATATTTCTGTACCTATTGATCCTGCACTTATTGAAGCAACAGTTGCATACAAGTTAAGTAAGAATACAGTTGAACCTCAAAGGTCTACAGCAAAAAACATCCCTGCTTCAGAACAGAAGCTTCAGGCAGACAAGAGGGCTGAGAAGGCAGCTGCTGTTTGGTCAGATGTTGTACAAGAAGTTGCTTGCTATTACCAAGTGCTTGATACAATTGCTGCTCAGCATGGTGTTAATCCTGAACAACTGAAGGAGAAGGTATTTGCTAGAGCATCTCTCAAGAATGAACAGAAAGTGAATCCTTTCAATGCCTTTGTACATTTCAAGGCTGTCCAATACAAGGAAGGCAGTGTGTAGCCTGAATTATGAATCATATTGTATAAGCTTATTTATTTTTTAGATCTATCATCAAATGTTAGTACAGACACAAGAGCAAGACTCTGAGAGATTCATAATCTGCTAGACAACAAAGGTTACACAACATGACAGTCCTTAGACAAGGAGTCAAAAGATAGCATACTGAAGATGCTGGAGGACCACTGTATGAAGAAGTCTACTTCATCTCAGGCTAGGCCATTGAAGAAGTCTATTGGTCAAACAGTACAGCACACAGGTGAACATATTATTAAAGAGGTGAGTACACATTACATTGTATTATAAATGTATATCCATATCTAACTCTTTTATACTCAGTTATCAAACCTTTCTAAACAAGCAGGAACCTCTTCATTATGTATTATAGTCTGTACATCACCAAATGGCTCACATGCACCAGTTATACACTGTGACAACATATTAAAACAATTCTTACAGAGTGGACTTGGCAAGTCCCTTACTGAGTTTGCTAGCTTGTTTGAAGGATTTGCAATCTCTGGGTTGAAGGACTTGCACATGCTAATGCTACAGCAAACCACACAAAGCAATGCATCGG